CTCACAAAACAAACTGAGGGTTAATGGGGGGGAGGGGGGTTGGGGGGTGGGATTATGGACATTGGGGAGGGTATGTGCTATGATGAGTGCTGTGAAGTGTGTAAACCTGGCGATTCACAGACCTGTACCCCTGGGGATAAAAATATATGTTTATATAAAGCAAAAAAAAAAAAAAAGAAAAAAGAAAAGTAAAAGTAAAACTGTCTTCATGAGCAGACAGCATGATTATCTACAAAGAAAAATTTCAAGGATTTTACCATAAAGCTACAACAACCACTAAGTGTGAGTTTATCAGGGTGACAGACTATAAAGTCACTCTACAGAAATCGTTGAATTTAGGTATACTGGCAACAAGCAGTTAGGAATTAAAATATTAAAAGCAGTATCATTTTAAAATAGCTTCAAAAAAATCAAATATTTTAGAATAAGCTTAACAAAATTTATGTAAGACCTGTGCACTGAAAATTAGAAAACATTGCCAAAAGAAATTAACAGAGCCCTAAATAAGGGGAGATGTATATCCTGTTTGTGAGTCAGTAGACTCAGTGTTAAAATTTCAGTTGTCGTAAGTTGACCTACAGTTTTCATTCAATCCAGAGCAAACATTTGTAGAAATTGATAAACTGATCTAACATTTATGTGGAAACGCAAAGGACCTGGAAGAGTCAAAACAAAAAAATAAAGAGGATTCACTACCTGATTTCTGGACCTACTGTAAAGCTACAGTAATCAGTTTAGTGTGGTCCTTGAGGATAAGGATAAATGCATGTGTCAGTGGAAGAGAATGTCCATAGAAATGGACACAAATGGCATTTGAGAGAATGAAGTATAGAAATGGACACAAATATCACTTGATTGGGGTGACAGAGTAATTCAGTGGGGAGAAGACAGTCTGTTCCACATATTATGCAGGGAAGATTGAGCATCCATTTCCCAAAAAGTGTGTCACGACCTGTATCTCCAGATATGAAATTACCTTGAAATGGGCCATAGACTTAAATGTAAAATGTAGAGTTAAAGTGTAAAAACCTTTAAAAGAAAATGTTTTAGAAAATCATTGTGACCTTGGGTTAACCAAAGGTTTCTTAGGACACAAAAGACATGAATCATTTTTTATGATGATAAATTAGGCTTTCTCAAAATTTGAAATTTTTCCTATTCAAAAGACACTTAACTTAAACAAAGGAAAAAATAAGTCACAAACTAGCAACACAGATCTGAAAGAGTTTGTGTTGATCTACAATTCAGTAATAAGACAACTCAATTTTTAAAAATGGACAGAAGATTTGAACAGATACTTCCCAAAATAAGAGAAAAGAATGGCAGTTAAGCACATGAAAAGGCAGGAAAAAGCAAATTCAACATCAAAGCAAGACGCTGCACATCCACTAGTGTGACTAAGAACAAGAATATTACGTGCGGAAAAGAATATAGATCAGCTAGAAATCTCATACATTGCTGATTGAAATGAAAATATTTCGGGCACTTTGGGAAGCTGTTTGACAGTTGACTGAAAGGTGAAGCATATACTTTCTATTACCATGAAGCAGTTCTTCTGCAAAGTATTTACAGAAGAGATCTGCATTCATTCAGTGGAACTTTCCTCATCAATAAAAAACTACTGATACAGGCAACACCAGTACAGATGAATTTTGAAGTGTTTTATGCTAAGCGAGAAAAGCCAGACGCAAAAGACTACATATTGTATGTTTTCATTTATGTGATATTCTAGAAAAGATAAAAAATTGTAGGGAAAGAAAACAGATCAGTGATGCCACGGCCTGGGGGTGGATGGGGAGGGGATTGACTTAAAGAGGCAAGAGGGAACTTTCTTGGGTGATGGAAACGTTCTGTATCTTAATTGTGGTGTTGGTGGTTACATGACCGTGTACACTTATCTAAACGCAATTGTCAAAAAGAGTGGATTTTGTTATATGTAACTTATACCTCATTAATCCTTTCCTTAAAAGTTACAAAAGGATTCTGAAATAAGTGATGCATAAAGTCAGTCAGTTTAAGTATGCACAAAATCTAGTTCATTTTAACTGCATTTCCAACTTGGACCTTGGGGTTCTTTTTAATTTAAAATGGCCGCTAATAGTTCTGAAAATGAAAAGTAGCAATTAATGTGTGTCTCTGAGTCAACAAAAATTAATGAAAGCACTTACTACATTTCAGGTGTTCCCCTAAACAAATCCCTATATTCTGTGAGTAGGAAGGAATAGAATTCAAACAAATCCATATATAAATAATAATAAAATTATAATTGTGATAACGGCAGCAGCTGAAAGGTATACGTGTGCTATGAAGGTGTTCCACAGAGAAACAACCCTCTTAAGTAACAGAAACTGCACATGCCAAAAGACTGAGACGGGAATATGCACGAGTAAATTGTAAAAGCTGAAATAAGGTGAATAAGAGGGGTGAGGGTGGGTCATGATAGCAAACGATGAGGCTGGAGAGTCAGGTAGGGGCCAGATGGTCTTAATGATTTGAGTGGAAGATTTTTTTTTTTTAAAGATTTTATTTATTTGACAGAGATCACAAGCAGGCTCCCTGCTGAGCAGAGAGCCCGATGCGGGACTCAATCCCAGGACCCTGGGATCATGACCCGAGCCGAAGGCAGAGGCTTTAACCCACCCAGGCACCCTTGAGTGGAAGATTTTTAACTATCATTTAGATCTTGCTGCATAGTAAAGCACTCCTAAGTTTAGTGGCTCTAAGCAACGAACATTTATTATTTCTCATGATTCTGTGGGTCTGCTGGGCAGTTCCTTTTCTGGCCCTGCTCAGCTAGAGTTAGATGGTGTAGATCACGGACACGGCTGGTGGCTTCCAGGGTTTCATTCACCGGTCACAGAGTTCTCCAGAACAGCAAGGAAGGGCAGGCCCCAGAGCACAAACACTTTTCAGGTCTCCACTTGAATCACATTTGCTGTCGTTCCATTGCCAAAAACAAATCCTGTGTCCACGCCCAGAGTCTGCAGAGGAGACTACCCAAGGGTGTGTGGGCTGGGACTGGGAGCGGAAGTATGTTGACCATTTCTGCCAACAGTCTGTCACGTTGACTAACCCGTTAGTGTGCGATTTCACAATATATTTTATGTTGTTTCGTCTTCTTTTAAATCCTTTATGAATTCTACCGTTGGGGTGGGTTGGTTGTACATCCCGTCCTTTTTGATGATGGGACAGGCCATGGGCCAATTTCTCGACCTCAGCAGTTTCTTTTCATCAAGAACGGCACAAACATTTTGCTTTTCTCTGTGAAGGTTCAGCGAACTATTGCCAAACAGATTCAGATGGTTCGGCAAGTTGGTAAAGGCCGGTACGGAGAAGTGTGGATGGGTAAATGGCGTGGTGAAAAGGTGGCAGTCAAAGTGTTTTTTACCACCGAAGAAGCTAGCTGGTTTCGAGAAACGGAAATCTATCAGACTGTGCTGATGCGCCATGAAAACATACTTGGTGGGTACATGTTTGGTTTCGGCCAATCCCATATTCCAACAGGGTTAGTGGGATGCAGTGGAAGCCTGCCACACAGGCTATGAAAACATATGTGAATTCCATTATGTGCATCTGGCTCAAGGAAAACCAAGAGAATACACAGTTTAAATACAAAACAATCCTGCATGCCCACCAACAGCTTTATTTACTCTCCAGCTAGGAAAACAATAGGGAGTTTCGAATTGGAAGTAGTACTAGTTTATTGGACTTACTCCTAGAGTAACACAGCCCAAGTTTTTTAAAGGTAATTTAAGCAATTTTCTAATGTAACTTTAACTATATACGTGCTTTTTGCCTTTTATAAACTGAATGCCCCTCCCCACTTTATAAAACAGAAAAATAATTAGGTATGATCTGATTGGTAGAGTACAGAAACTACTCTAGCTTCCCTGACTTTTCAGCTACTGTTTCCCTACCCTTTAATTTAGAGAGTGCGTAGCACATTGCCACAAGTATTCCAGACACTTAGCTGTTAGTTTCCTAAGGGTTGTCACAACAAATTACCGCAAACTGGGTGGCTTAAAACAACAGAAATTTATTTTCCCAGAGTTATGGAAGCCAGAAGTTTAAAAGGAGGGTGTCAGGAGGGCCGTGCTCTCCGAAGGCTCTAGGAGAGGCCCCTTCCTTACCTCCTCCCCCAGCTTCTGGTGACTGCCAGCAACTTTGGGCACTTCTTGGCTTGGAGATAACGCTCTTACTCTCTGTTGTCCCATGGCCCTCACCCCTTTATGTCCACATTCCCCTTTTGTAAGGAAATTGGTCATTAAATCAGGACCCACCCTAATCTAGTATTGACCTCTTCTGAACTTGTTTCTATCTACAAAGACCCTACTCCAAAGAAGGTCACATATACAGGTACCAAGTGGACATGAATCGGCATGGTATGGGAGGAACATATTATTCAACCCAGCACTTACTGACCTTCTTCTGAAGGGAAAAGGGACAAGAAAAGAGGCCAGTATCATGGCCCTGCTTATCAGTGAGCCAGATAGAAATGCAGATGTGCTGAGGCTTGATGGGCAAATGGTACCTGGCTTAGGAGCAAACTTGTGGTTGAACATTTTAACTCTATTACTTTAATGTGTTCACTTTTCAGTTTGAAATTGAAAGTTTTTCCACCTTCCGTTGTGCTTAGAGAATCATGGAGATGGACAGCATTTCCCCAGGCTATTTTCTGATACATGATTTTTTTCTTAGACATATGATTGTCATTTTCATGATTATCATTAAGATTATTTTAAATATACTGCAGAAATGTAGAGTTGTCTGTGTAAATGGCAGGAAAGAATGGTACACATTCAAGAGATTTTGTTAGGCAAATTAAATTCTTATTATCTGTACAAGATACCAAAGTTATCTTCAGTATCCTGAATTAGCATTCGATATTCTTCTTGCCCATCTCTGGTAACTAACCCTTTAAACCCATTCATTGAACAGGTTTCATAGCAGCAGACATTAAAGGTACAGGTTCCTGGACTCAGCTCTATTTGATTACTGATTACCATGAAAATGGATCCCTCTATGATTTCCTGAAATGTGCTACACTAGACACCAGAGCCCTGCTCAAGCTGGCTTATTCGGCTGCCTGTGGTCTGTGCCATCTCCACACAGAAATTTATGGCACCCAAGGAAAGCCTGCAATAGCTCATCGAGACCTAAAAAGCAAAAACATCCTCATTAAGAGAAATGGAAGTTGCTGTATCGCTGACCTGGGCCTTGCTGTCAAATTCAACAGGTAAGTGGTTCTTTGCCTACTGTTTTGAAATTGTTGGACTCTCCAAAAGATATTTGCCTATTTGGATTCAGGATAGTAGAATTCCAAACATGTTTTTGGGCTTATCTGGTTATATAAATAAATAGTTGGGATTTTTTGTCTTGGTGTTTTGTTTTTCTGTTTTTTAGGGTTTTTGTGTTTTGTTTCGTTTTTTTACAAAAATTGCATCCTACTCTACATAATTCTTGATTTCCTGCTTTTTATTGTCTTAGACATCATTCTATTGCTTCATTCTTTGAAACAGTGTTGATGCAATTTTCCATTATGTGGATGTTCTGTGACCCAACTGATGGGCATTAAAGTTGTCTCTATTATTTGAAAAATGCCTTACTACACGTTGTATTTTGCCTATATATAATATCCTTGACTGCTTGTGTAAGTATTTGTTCGTGGTGGATTCCTAGAGAAGGGGCTACCCAGAGTATGTGCCTGTTAAAGTCCAGTATAATTGCAAACTCTCCCTTAAGGAAGTGTTCGTCAGTTTACACTCCCATAAACAGAGCTAGAAGTATGCGTTTTTCCATCACCACTTGAAATTGTTGATATTTTTTATGTAGAATTATCAAATTTTTAGGAAACCATTGAAGCTTTTATAATACTTTTAAAACTCAAGGATACAGCAGCCATGAAATGAATTTCAGAATTCATTTCAGGTTATAAAATAAAAGTATTTCCCTAGCTGTTACACTGTTCTGGTCCTGTTGTTCTTTATTGTTGTGGTCCTCATTGGCTCAAATACTCATCAGGTACTGTTTAAGAAAATCTAAAATACATTACATTAATCTTGGCTTCAAAGTAGTTTCCAGAACCCGCCAGAATTGGGTCCTAAGTAACAAAGCATTTATGTCTTCCAACTCTAAAATTTAGTCCAAAAATTGAAACCAGTAAACACCATTTATTACTGATTGTCAACATGATTATGTAAACATTACTGACAACAGAACTAAGTTGGTTGGACCCAAAAAGAAAATGTAATCCTGTGTCACAAAGGCAGAGTTTATCATATGAGAACAGTAAAGGCGGTGATTCCTCTCAGTTTAGTTTTACATTTGCTTGTTCTGGGACATAATTATCTACTGTGCTTTTTTCTATTCAGTACCGTCCTTTTTCTTAAGAGAAGCACTAAACATGTCTGGTGACAGAACTTAAACTGATGTGAGGTGTTTATTGTCTTTATCCAGGATAATATGAATATTCATACTTCGCTTTTCACTGCAGACAGTAATGATTCTGATTAGGTGCTGTCCCGGACCCTGCTCTGGGGTGTTATGTAATCTGTAACATATATTAAAGAGTATATTACTTTTCTAAATCTGGGAAATGCTAAATTTTAAGATCTTATCTGGTCCCAGAGAATTCGGTTAAGGGACTGTTGAGATATAAAATTGGTAGGTAGTCAGGTAGATTTTTTTTTAATTTAATTTTTTTTTATATATTTATGTGGGGTGTGTGTGGGTGTGTGTGTGTGTGGGTGTGTGTGTGTACACATGGAAGGAAGACTCTGACTTACAAAATGAGACAAAAATACAAGATAAACTGCTCTGTTCCTGGCCATCAACCTGAACACTGTCTTCTCTTTCAGTGACACAAATGAAGTTGACGTACCCTTGAATACCAGGGTGGGTACCAAACGCTACATGGCTCCGGAAGTGCTAGATGAGAGCTTGAATAAAAACCATTTCCAGCCCTACATAATGGCCGACATCTATAGCTTTGGCCTGATCATTTGGGAAATGGCTCGTCGTTGTATCACAGGAGGTAAGACTTCAGGTAGTGGGTTTCCAGTTATGTTTGTATCCTCATTATTTAAAAAAGAAGCAGCTCCATTTATATGACTTAGATGTCACATATGTCAGAGATCCCCAAGGCCACTCCCAGGTTCTGTGACTTCACTACAAGGACATACAGGTCTCAGCATATCGTTGTCCTCACAGCTAAGATTTATTACAGTGCGAGGATACAGATACAATCACCCAAGGGAAATGGTACATGGAGCAAAGTTCAGAGGAAATCAGGCACAAGCTTCCAGAAGTCCTCTCCCAATGGAGTCACAACAGGATGTGCTTCAGTCCTCCAGGAGTGAGTTATGACAACATGTGAAATATTGTCATCCAGAGAAGTTCATTAGAGACCTAGTAGCCAAAGATATTTTTGGAGGCTGGTCACGTGGGCACCCTCTACCTAGCATGTACCAGAATTCCAGACCCCTAGAAGGAGAGCAGGTGTTCAGCATAAACCATATTGTTTGTACAGATAGTCTAGGCACAACAGTGAGTGACCCTTATCATTTAGGGAAAGTTTTATACGAGTGTGTAGGTAATTGTTTGCCCAGCAAGTTCCCAGATACCGGCCCAGTGCCAGCCCTGGAAGCAGGCCTTTTCAAAGAATAGCACTCTCCAGCCTGCTGTGCTACCTCTTTTCTGCATATCATGTTGTCTTTCTACTGCAGAACGAAATAAGGCAAAATAAAAAACAAAAACCACATTCATTAGTAAGAACAATTATGTATATAAGTAATCAAATTAAAAATTGAAGGGGCACCTGGGTGGCTCAGTCAGGTAAGTGACCGACTCTTGGTTTCAGCTCAGGTCATGAGCTGGTTGGGAGATCAGACCCCACATCTGGCTCCGTGCTGAGCATGGAGCTTAAGATTCTCCCTCTCCCTCTGCCCCTCCCTGGCTTGCTTGCTGTCTTGTGTATGCGTGCATGCAAAATAAATAAATAAAAATTTGATGGTAAATGAGCACTTCACCTTACTTTTCCTAAGGGATATAGGTAGGTCCACAGGTATGATGGGGACCGTGATGGAGGTAGAAGAAATAATTAGGCACAGAAAAAGAGAAGAAAACACATTTACTATTAAAAGTGAATCATTCACTCTATAATTCTCTTCTTTATTTAGGAATCCATTTTAACTCCTATAGTTCAGTAAGAAGTGCTGAGTAGGTTGATACATTTTGTCCAGCCATTTTTGTGCCCACTGTGCTTTCTCACTCCCTGCAGGGATAGTAGAAGAGTACCAGTTGCCATATTACAATATGGTGCCCAATGATCCATCATACGAAGATATGCGTGAGGTTGTGTGTGTCAAACGTTTGCGGCCAATTGTGTCCAACCGGTGGAACAGTGATGAAGTAAGTGGAGCTCCATCCCCTGAGGAAGTGATTGGTAAGTGTTGTCAAAGATCTTTATGTGCTCACTACATTCTCTTTACTTTTCAGTGTCTACGAGCAGTTCTGAAGCTCATGTCAGAATGCTGGGCCCACAATCCAGCCTCCAGACTTACAGCTCTGAGAATCAAGAAGACACTTGCCAAGATGGTTGAATCCCAGGATGTAAAGATTTGACAGTGAAACAATCATGAGGAGAAATTCTAGACTGCAAGAACTGTTTTCACCCGAGGAATGGGTGGAATTAGAGTAGAATAAGGATGCTAACTTGGTTCTCAGACTCTTTCCTCACTACACCTTCACAGGCTGCTAATATTAAACCTTTCAGTACTCTGTAGAATAACAAGCTGGGAACTTCTGAACACTTCGTTCTTTATATATGGACAGCTTTATTTTAAAATTGTGGTTTTTGATGCCTTTTTTTTTTTATTGGGTTTTTATGAACTGCATCAAGGCTTCGATCCTGATTATTAATGTCTCCAGTTAAACTCTGGGTACTGAATTTCCTGTTCATAAAATGGTGCTTTCTGTGAAAGCCTTAAGAAGATAAATGAATTCAGCAGAGATGGAGAAATACACATTTTTGCCTTCTACCTGAGGAAAATTAATCTGTCTGTGTTCTGCCTTTGTAAACAGCCTATGGATTATGATCTGTTCGGGGTACTACTTAGTTTATGATAGTTTGTCATGCTTTGATATTGGTGTGTGTGTGTGTGTGCACGCGCACACATGCACACACCAGGATTCCTCTGCTGCCGTTTGAATTAGAAGAAAATAATGTATGAATGCACAGGAAGATGTTGGTGGCTGTTGGTTTTGTGCTTTAAAAAATGCATTATCTGACCAAGATTCTCCAATCACATAAAAGCCATTTATTTACCTTGCAAGTGAGCTAGCTTCTCTGCCAACTTGATTTTTTAACATAAAGGCCAAAAGAAGTTTAAAGTGTCTGTAAATTTGGACTGTTTTTCTTTCATCACCATCTTTTTCTTCCTTCCTTCCTTCCTCCCTCCCCTTCCTCTCTTCTCCCCTCCCCTCTCCCCCCACCTTCCTTCTTCCCTTCCTTCTCTTTCTTTCTTTTTGGTAATTCTTTCTTTCGTCATGAAAAGCATCTTATCCAAAGTTGGAACTTCCGATGCCATGAACCTTGTAAAGAAAACACTTCTTATTGAAGTGAATTACTAATTACTGCATTTGATAGCAATGTAAGTGCCTATAATCGTGTTCTATATTCTTTATTCTCAGTAACTTTTAAAAGGGAAGTTATTTATATTTTGTGTGTAATATGCTTTATTTGCAAAACACCTTCTTTACAACCCATATTTTATATATGTACACACATTCATACTGTAGAAACCAGCTCTCATGTGTACCTCATATCCCATTCTTAAGGGAAGAAAATGAAAAGATCATCAGAAAAAAATGTTATAAAGTATAAGTACTTACAAATTGTCAGAATTAATGCATTCAAAGGAGTATATCAAATGTAGGCTCAGGCATATACTTTCATTAAGATGCCGTCATCTCAATTTTTCTTTATGAAAGGATCCTCCAGTTAGAAGTTTCTATATCAGAGCTGATATAAACTTATCAACAGCTGTTTGGGGCATTTAAATCATTTGAGATTTTTGGTTTTATGATTTCTGTTCCATAACTTGTGAAGACAATGAAGAGTCAGGCAAAAAAGTTCAGTATCTACTCATTATCTGTATTTATACCATATAGCTGTTATTCAATAAAATGCTACATATTTTATGGATGCCATGTTATCCCAAGGAATAATTCTGATTTACTTAAACTTACACTTCTCCAATGCCTTTTAAATATTGTCTTATCCTGAGCGAAAAACTCATAGGTGCATAAAGTGAAGCAGTTTTCTTTGAATGTAACATAAAATAAATGTGATTATATCACAACATAGTTAAAAATCTTTAAAGGGGAGGAATCAAGAGCGTGTACCATCCATTACCAAAAGCCTGACTGGCATTTAAGGATGAAACTCTTAACGGTATTTATAAAGCAAACTTCACAGATTTGAAATCTGCTTTCATGGTCTTGACTAAGCTTAGTAATTTTCATCTAACATAATTAAACTTGGAAGTGTTCATGAAAATAAGTAAATGTACATATTGATAGTACCCAATAACATGTTCTTTCAGAATTTCCTCCCTTATACTGAGAGAGAGTCTAATCCACGTTGCTTTGTGATTTAAGAACACTTCTGAGCTCTGATCTTAATCTAAGGTTAATCTTGCTTTATTTTTTATTGGCTAAACTATAAGTCCTGAACATTATTTGTCAACTTAATAGCAAAGAACGTATGTAAAGAAAGGCAAACTCTATTCTTAGAAATGTTGAAATAGTATGTGGAAGCAATTACATATGCTTTTCTTCTGTTCAGAGCAAAAATGTAATACAACTTTTAAAAAGAATCCTGTATCTCTTAAACTGGCTCAAGATTAAATTTGATAATAACTTATTCCAGGCAAGATTTTATAAATTAAATCACTTGTGTTTCTTTTCATACATGTTGTTTGGATATATTGCAAACATCTAAAATCTCAACAGAAATACTAATTGATTTTTTATAAAAAAAAAAAAAAAAAAAGATTGTTGCAGCTCTTACACTGTTTAAAGGGGTACTATTTATTTGCGTGGGTCAGGTGTTAAAATAGGGTAGCAGTTCATTCATCATCTTGCCTCAGTGCTATTACGAGAGTCACTGTGAAAACTGCAAAGAACCAACATATTCAGGAAGATCAAATTAAATCTTGGGCAGCAGCATACAAAGCCACATGTAATGATCATCCCATAAGGAAAGTATGTGAATACTGCTTTGCAAAGGATTAAATATTGTAATTTTAGCTCGTGCTCTGTACTATGCTTCCAGTGGAATTATTTAAGCCCTTTTAGTGACCATTGTCCTTGCCCATTTAAAAACTAAAATGTAGTATATATTGTATAAAATGAAAATATCATTATAGCTTAATTAGGGAAGTTGTACATAGACATTGAAAGAAGGGTTAAAAACAGTTTTATTATGCAATTGTAAAACACCAAAAATATAGATTCATCTTTGATATGTAACACACTAAATGTATTTTGTACAGCATCTGGTTTAAAAGGTGCCTTATTAAGTTTACCATTAATTGCTTTGTTCTATATATAGATTACATCCAATGTATCATTTTTAAGTAAATAACCTTATTTTAGTATACTTTAGTGATGTGTTTTGTGATACTCGGACTGTATTGTGTATCAGAAGTCACATGTCTGGGGAGATTTTATAACAGAATAAGTTTGTATACATACATTCGTCCCTGAGATGTGCATTTCAGCTATCAGAAACCGAGTGTGGAACACATGGCAGGTAAGTGATGGCACACTCTTTCCTTTGTGTAGATAGAGCAGTTGAAAACCTATTAGAGTGAAAAGTTGTTTCCCTTTTAAAAAAAAATTAATTCTAAAAATACGTACTCATTGCAGAAATTTTGGAAAACACAGGAAAGATTAAAGAAGTGACTAAAATCCCTCACAATTCTATTGCCATATGTACCCCTATTTACATTTGAATGTTTCTTTCTAGTCTTTTTTTCTGGGGCATTTTTTAAATTATTTATTTATTTATTATTATTTTTTTTTTTTTTACAAAATTTTAGATCATAGTATGTCCTTAATATCCATTGAAAAATGTAACTTTAGGGGCACCTGGGTGGCTCAGTGGGTTAAAGCCTCTGCCTTCAGCTCAGGTCATGATCTCCGGGTCCTAGGGTCAAGCACCACATCGGGCTCTCTGCTCAGCGGGGAGCCTGCTTCCTCCTCTCTCTCTGCCTGCCTCTCTGCCTACTTGTGATCTCTGTCAAATAAATAAAATGTTAAAAAAAAAAAATGTAACTTTAGGGGTACCTGGGTGGCTCAGTTGGTTGAGCGACTGCCTTCGGCTCAGGTCATGATCCTGGGGTCCCAGCATCGAGTCTTGCATTGGACTTCCTGCTCGGCAGGGAGTCTGCTTCTCCTGCTGACCTCTCTCCTTTCATGCTGTCTCTCTCTCTCTCACAAATAAATAAATGAAATCTTAAAAAATGTAACTTTAAAAAATTAACTACATAATATCCTACCAAGTAGATGGAACAATTTTTTTATAATTCCCTGTTGAATAATTGGGTTATTTCCATTGTTTTAAAAAATATATAATGAATGTATTAAACATCCTTGTACATATATCTTTAAAACATAAATTTATTCTCTTAGATTACATTCCTAAAAGTGGGACTAGTGGAGATGAACTTGTAAAGGATTATTTAAGATGAAAAACAGTCTAAGGTTCTTGGTAAGTGTGGCCATATTACTGCCCAGAGGGTTTTCTGGGCACATTTCTACTAGTCGTGTCAAGAGAGTGTTCATCTCACGACTTGGGCAGGTCATGGCTTCCAATTTCCTTTCTCTGCTAGCATAGCGCCTGGTTTCTTGTCCTGTAACTGGTTTCTGTTACCTACAGTCATGGAGTCCATTTACCCTGCTTTACGGTGTTCCAGCTGCAGCAAGTGCTTTGTGAGAAGCTGGAGCTTCAGGGCTGAAAGGCAGCTTTCCCTCTGTTCCCCCACAGTGTCCTCTCCCCTCCTGCACGTAGTTTCACCGCCTATCAGAGCTGTTTCCGACTGTGCATAGATTCAGTCAGCAAACCTCGGGGTGCCTTAGGCAGCTGGACATACTAAATTGTAAAAATTTGGGACTCGTTGATGTCTCCCCCCAAAAAATGCATGTTTGGGCATAGCTTGTTAACAGCTTCTTCACAGGAACCCCTATTCAATGTCCCCGCAAGATGGTTTCTTGAAACAAGCATGCACTCTCATGCAGCCTGGTGAAGAACTGGGATTTCCTGGGCCTGTCAAATTACTTGCTATAGCTTTCCTTCTATCCGTAAAAGGTTGACCCCAAACCTAGATCAACATATTCGTTTTCCTTCCCGGCATAATCTGTTACTGTCACTGATTAGTTGGAACAGTGATGATTTCCAAGGTTTCTTTAATAGTAGTAGTAGTACTAATAGAGAAGACATTAAGAAATGAGGACAGTGTCTTTCCAGAATAATTCTTGTAGGTAATTTGAGGCAGATGGTAATTCAGCCATTAAATCTTCATCCACTTGGAGAACTGTTTCCCTGCTGCTAGTGCACGGACCTTTTCTGGCGCCAGCCTGAGATGCATGTTCCCACAAAGCCTTGCGGCAGCCATCGAAACAGTACAGGCCTGGCCAGGAGGACACGGTGCACTGAAGGTGGCCAGTCTGTCATGGTGGGAGAGGCCACCTAATGGCAGCGGCACCGACCTGGTTAAGGGGAGTTAAATATTGCGAGCTCAGGGCAAAGGCAGAAATAGGCAAGTCGCCCGAAAGCTGGAAATCAGGAGGAGACTTAGAACTAGTTCATGAGTGCCGAGGTACATATGCAAAACACGTCTGCTGGAAGCAGCGGCTGTGGCTGAAAGATTCGTCCATCGTTGCCCTTGGAGGTGGAGACCGTGATTCTCGTTTTTAGATGGAATAGTGTGGCCTACCTGTTACTCCTCTGAACTGTATCTTCTTGGCCTTTGTCCCCTTACTTTTACTCTGAGTGTTTCGTGAGGCTTTAACCCACTGAGCCACCCAGGCGCCCCTCCTGTCCTTTTTCACTACCCAGTTCAATCCGATTTTTTTTTTTAAGATTTTATTTATTTGACAGAGAGAGATCACAAGTAGGCAGAGGCAGGCAGAGAGAGAAGGGGAAGCAGGCTCCCTGCTGAGCAGAGAGCCTGATGAGGGGGGCTCGATCCCAGGACCCTGAGATCATGACCTGAGCCAAAGGCAGAGGCTTTAACCCACTGAGCTACCCAGATGCCCCTCCAATCCGATTTTGTAATGGAGAAGAGATGTTTGACACACGTCGGATACCTAACTACCAAAACATAAACATGTCCTTACAACTAGATGGCTGCTTTCTCAAGCCTGTTGGCTCTAGGATCTGTAATGCTT